AGCAGTGCATTCATAAACTTTAAAGCTTGTTTACAAACCACATCAAACACTTTTATTTTAAAAAAAAATGAGGAAAATAGTGATTTTTCCATGATATGGGCTCTTTCATCTTTCTTTCCAGGAATATTTTTTCCATAGATTCATGTCGGTTCCATGTTCTCTATGAACCAGTTCAATCTCGTCCCGTCTGCCTGGTTTTGTGAAGGTCATGCACTATCTGCCTTTGACCACACGGGGGAGGTGTTTTCTGATAATAAAAAAGTCAATTGTGATAAAAGACTATGGTTATTTCTGCTCAGGCCGGTATGCCTTTCTCAGCAAATCCTATGTTGCTGGCTGTGCCCAAGTCAGATAATACTGCATATATAAAAAGCAGTTTGTGTGGGAAAACCTGTAAATGGCTTGGTTACCTTATGTGTTCTAACAGCTTCCCCCCCAAATTATTATCCAATGTCTCCATTACCCTCTCTCCAGTCAAGAGACTAGACTGATTAACTCAGTGGTGGTAATTCAAATGGCCCGTCATGTTTGTCTACCCCTTGGGGGTAGAAGAAAAGAAATGTCAGAGGTCATGCACTCTGTTTGACCCCAACCCCTTTTAAATCCCAGTCGTAAATAACATGTAGGGGGTCCACACGAAGTGGCAAAAGCCCTGACAGCAGTGACACAGTTTGAAGAAATATTTATTAATATGGTTAAAAATAGAAGGGTAATAGGTTATGCACTGATGGTAAATAAATAATTACCAGATAATCATTTTCTTCTATGGTCCGGTGCTTTCAGGATGTCTGCAAAAGAGACCTCCTCAGAATAGAAGACACTCATTTCACTGAATATACTGAATTTTGACTGAATACAGTATGAGGTTTAAATCATTATTATTCTGCCCGCATTCATATCACCTCACTAGAGAAAAGAGGAGAAAGTGGATTGTTAAGCTGGCAGTAAGACGTAAAGATCAATACAGCGATAACACCTGAAGCCTGTGTGGAGCTTTGAGGAATTGAGGGGCCTTTTTTACTCTGATCCAGGACCATTTTCCTTTCCCAATGTTCACACCCATTCATAAATGATATCTGTTCAACTGATCTAAGGTCAGCATAAAAGAGCAACCCAGGGTATTCATGCAGACATAAAGGCAGACAGGTAGCTCCTGAGGCTCTGTAACCTCTGAGCGCTCGAGAGACGCTGAGAGATAAAATTATTTACATTCCATTTTGACAGCCCGCTAGGCTTTGCCTTTGCCAGCATTGTTTTTTCTCATCCACTGAATCTGAATGTCTATGCTGGTAATAAGGAGTAAATAGATAAGGCTAGATGGAAAACATTGATTAGCATAATCCTTATCGAGAAAACTTTGGCAAGGAAAATAAAAATGGCTAGGAATAAGAAAGTCGGTTATCTGTTAAGTATATCTAATTAAATATATTTTTTACAACAAATACAAAAAGTACTACATATATTTTAATGCTATATAAACAGTCTCTATGCTACTAGTTTTGTAAATTAGCCTGGTTGGACTACATTTTCTCCCCTATCACTATGGGTAATGGGTGCCCTTTAAAGTAGCTGAATTTACTAATTAGGAAGGGTGCCTTGATACTTTTGGTCATATACTCGCTGACCTTTATTAGGTACAATAATTGTGCACAATAAATGTCCACTTACCATATAGGTGTAAACTGTAGTTCTACAATTACAGGTGGTTTCTCTGCATAACTTGTTAGCCTTTCTTCAGCCTGTTCATCATGACCAGGACCCCCAGAAGACCACCACAGAGCAGGTATTATTTGGGTGGTGGATCATTCTCAGCACTGCAGTGACACTGACTTTATAGTGGTACGTTAATGTGTGTTGCACTCATGCGAGTAGATTAAACACAGCAGTGCCGCTGAAGCTCTTAAATACTGTGTATCCTTACTGTCCTTGTTCGTCCACTTTGTAGATGTAAAGTCAGAGACAGTGGCTCATCTGTCGCTGCACAGTTTGTGTTGGTCATCCTCTAGTCCTTCATAAGCAGTCACAGGACACTGCCAACAGGATATTTTTGGTCGGTGGTCTATTCTCAGTCCAAGTGACACTCAGGTGTTTAAAACCTCCAGCAGCACTGCTGTGTCTGATCCACTTGTACCAGCCCAACACACACTAACACACCACCACCACATCAGTGTCACTGCAGTGCTGAGAATGATCCACCACACAAATAATACCCACTCTGTGGTTGTCCTGTGGGGGTTCTGACCACTGCAGAACAGGGTGAAGAAAGGCTAACAAATTGTGCTGAGAAATAGATGGACTACAGTCTGTAATTGTAGAACTACAAACTGACAAAATGGACAATGAGTGTAGACACAGGCACTTAACAAAGTAGCCAATGGATGTGTAATGTACTTCAAAAGTCATTTCAAAGGTTGACTCAAACACAATCTAAGAAACTGCCATCTTCAAGCAGGTTTTGGCAGGACAGGGCAACTGCTTCACTGACCATGCTGTATTCTTGCCAGCTCCTAGAGAGGCTGAAAGGGCATGTGTGGGAATTGTTGAAGCCCTGCCCAATTCAGTGGGACCACCCCCTCACCCCTCAGTAGGCTGCCTACATTTACAGTGGACTTGCTGGATATGAGAGAGAGAGAGAGAGAGAGAGAGAGAGAGAGAGAGAGAGAGAGAAAGAGAGCACTACAAAAGTCCTCAAGTCTATTCTCTTGGCTGCTAGCCCATCCTTTTGTTAAGCTGCACTCCTGACGAACAGGCCCACGGATCCCCTTTAAAACTCCCTCACTGCTTTGTTTGTCCCAGGTTTAGGAAATATATTATTAACAAGACGGCACCGACACAAGCACAACAATGACTTTTACATAGAAAACTAATTTGCACATAACTCCCTTTGACTGTACAGCTGGGATATCATATGTCTGCATTGTCTGCATGACATCATCTCAATGGCTTTTCATGAAAGATCAGCCATGCAGCATTGAGGAGAAAAAAAAAAGACATGATGCTGGTTTTCAGAATATGACAATAACCAGAGCTTATTCTTATTTTTACCTAAGCTGTCTGACAGAGATTTTCTGTGACTATTTTCTTCTATATTGTCAGATATAGAAATTTACACCCTTTGAAAATACACACACACACACACACACACACACACACACACACACACACACAGATTATCTAAACAACTTATCGTTCTGGGTCATGGGGGGTGCTGGAGCCTATGTTAGCGGCCATTGGGCGGAAGGCAGGAAACACCCTGGACAGGTCTTACAAACAAACCCAAAGACATGAAATTGTTTTTCAGAATACAACTCACCAAAACCCATCTTCTTATTCTTATCTCAAAGCTGATAGACAAGGTTTTTGTGATTTGTTTGCCACAATGCCAGATACAGAAATAAGCCTACACACTCATTCAGAATAATGAAGAAAATGAAATGATGAAAAAATGAAATAATGAAAAAAAAAAAACATTGGTTTTCAGAATACGACAAACCAAAGCCCCATGTTTTCATATTCTTATCTCAAAAGCTGACAGACATATGAAGTTTAATTAATCCATATTTACAGATACAGAAACATACATCCTTTAAAATGCAAGATCCCAGATAGCAAGAGGATAGTGGGCCACTGTTGGCCCACTGATGGCAAAGCTTGCGGACCACTTTTGCTTAGCGTTTTCCAGGTGGCCCACAGGTGGTTAAGCAGAGTGTTAGACATATACCAAATTACTTATTTATACTTCATTTCTTACTTTTGTTATCCTTTGTAAATTAGTTTAGTAAATTTAATCCAGCACAATGTCAGCAACAACATTTTCAACAAAATCATTGTGTATTAGGCCTTTTTTTCCTTTCGGTTGTTTGTAATATTTGTCTTAGTTTGTTGTCCAAAATAAAAGTCTGTGTGCTTTCAACATCGGTTTGAGCAGATTAAAAACTAGTTAGACCTTGCATGCAGGACAGTAATATGGGTGGTCCGAGAGTGGATCAGCAGTGGCACACAGTCAGTAGGGTGCCGACCTTATCAAGCCACTGGATACGCTATATGTGCTTGCTATCTGGGATAATGTAAACAAGAGCAACAAAAAAGAGATGGCATTGTTTTTTTTTTTCAGAAATCAGAATAGAACTAACCAAATCCCCATCTTTTAATTCTTACAGACACACATATAAAGGGGGCTGCTGTGACTTCTGTTTGTCATACAGAAACATACACCCTTCAAAACCTCATATTAATGAGGAAGAATAGATAAAAAAAAGACATGATACTGGTTTTCAGAATATGACTAACCAAAGCCCCGTCCTCTTATTCTTTCCCCAAAGCTGACAGACATACAAAGGCTGTTGTTTTCTGTCTCTTGTTAGCCATGTTGTCTGCACCCTTCACAAATTCAGATTAACGCATCAGTCAGTTGTGCAACTCAACAATGTAGAATCACCAGCGTTACGAAATATCACCACGCTGTGCTGAATGGTCGGCCCCCTGTTCCCCTAGCGCGGCACAGTCGCATTACACCTTCCTCCCTCTCTCTCTCCCTCTCTCTCACTTCCAAACGAAACACTGCCCCCCTGTTATTCCTAATGTGCCGAGGCGACTCCGCAGCTGGCGCTCGGAAACGAAACCGGCTCGGTTTGAGAGGCGAGCCGTGCCTCAGGATTACTTTAGCGCCAGTGTTTGAGGTGCCTGTGTCTCTGTGGGAATGCCCCGCTCGGGTAAAGGTAAGCTGTGGACTTATTCACGGTGTCTTATCGAGAGAGAGAGAGAGACTGGCAGAGAGACAGAGAGAGAGAGAGAGAGAGAGAGCTGCCCGCCCGGTAACACGGCAGCACTACTGCACCGAGGCGGCTGGCTGGCTAGCAGGCTATGTGAGTGTGAGTGCTACACAGGCTAGCTCTGAGTCCTGAGGTGAAAAATCTACATTCAGTCTCACACAGTACATTTCTTCTGCCCCACTGACTGCTGACACTCTTACCCAGCTCCCCCCCGAGCTGTTTGGGCTTTTACACAGCCACGGTTTCGATAAGGTGGAGAATTCCTGCAGGTTAGCACATCTTACTTCTCTGCTCCTCTGACCACCAGCTAGCAACATATCTTCACAAACGCTTTAATTAAGGAAGCTGACGCGAGATGGGATTTTTGATGTCGTTTTGTGGCTCATATACGACCAACTTTGGCACAGAAGGCGAACCGAATGTCTATTTTCTGGGGGAAAATAAGAGTTAAGTTTAAGTTTCCCCAACTGTCAGCTGCTCCAGCACTTCTTCCTCTTGTAACATTACTTGGACACTGTATCAACTACATCTACTACTGAGCACTGTCCTCTGTGGGTGCTGCGGACATTTCCAGCGGGAAGCCGTGAGGTGTGATAAAAGGTTAATGTCACCTACACTCGTTCGCTCTTTCACCACAGAGCTGAAGCTGAAGTTAGCCTCTTATTCGATTCGTCCGTTCCACCTTAAATGGCTCGACGGTCACATTCTGGCGCTCGTGCTGAACGTGTGGACCTGCCGCACCGTTTAAGGTGGAATTCGAAATTCGAATAAAAGCTGGCGGGTATGAATCCAACTTTGGTCTCGTTTTTTCTTTAAACACACTGGTTCTCCTCCGGCTTTGGGCAGGGTTTTATTGTTCCACAGCCGTGTCCTCCCCGCTCCCCACCAACTCCTCCTCTGCCTGTACCGGTTAGTCAGGAGGCGTCTGCTAGTGATCGTGCCTGGTTTATGGAGCAGGGTTTGGCGCTTAAGGCCTTGAGGAGACCAGGGAGTTTCCTACCGCGTCCGCCATTTATTCGGGCTGTGGGAGGCTACAGGTAGATTGGGAGTTGGCGAACAGACTCTGAGACAGCGCAGAAGCAGAGTGAGGTGACAGCCGAGGAGTTTTTCAGTTCTCCTGCACAGTCAACGACAAAACGTCAGGTGAGTTTATGATGAGCTGAGGTAGCTTCAGCGTGAGAGGACCAGAGAGAGCTGAGGTGAGGCGTCGAGACTGCAATGTCGGTGACAAGGAACCAGCGCAGGTACAGTTCCACAGGGATTATAATAAAGATGGTGCTTTAGCACTCATTTCTTTTTTCGACACTGATCTTAAGACCTTGAAAATTGGCTGAGGTTTCCTCTTTAAAAGCTATGCCTTTAAAATCAGAGTCACTTCACGTAAGATTAGAGTTGCCTAACTTAGCCCTGTAAAATTACACCTAAATTCAGTGGATGGTTAGATATGCTCATGATGCAGTCTAAGGTAGATGCATTATATGCATTATGCGTTATATCAACCTAATCTTCTAAGTTAGTGTGTTGCAGTACTGCCTAATATCTAAACGCGTCACCAGTGGTGCACCTTTACCTTACTTTGAAGGTAATCTGAACCAACTAAATGCATTCTTTGCATGCAAATAGTTTGATTTGATGAAAAGAATCAGTTCAAACTTCGTAAGAAATGGTAATACATGAAAGCCCATGGATTCCAGGACATTTTGTGATCTGGAATTGAATTAATTGTTTTTTTATAGACAGCAAAAGTCCAGGATGATCCAGGAAAATCCTGGACGGGTGATGACCCTACTTAAGACTGTAAAAGTAGGCTATCATGCTCAAACTTCGTAAACACTACCACTGGAAGCAATAAAAACTAACAGCATCACATCACACAGTGTGAGTGTGTGCTATTTCAGATAGATTTGTTACAGGATTGGCTTCCAGTAATTTTTTTTTTCTTTTAGATCCAGCATTTTCTGTTGCTATTGGCCTGATATCAATACCCAATATCAGATTGGTGCCATCTCTAGATTAAAGTGCACAGTTTTTTTGTGCCACATTTTTAGCGGTTGTGGAAGGTAAATGTAGGGCTAGTTTTTTTTTGTTGATGTGATAATCAAACCATATACAGGGTGATTCAAAAAGATTTATCTGATTTCAAAATGATTCATTTTGCTTGTAAATCATTGCAGAACAATACAGTAAATTGTAAGTAGTTTAAGTAAGCACAAAATTTATTATGTAATTTTACAAGTGCTCAATATGAACCTCCTCCAGCTGTACATCAACACCATAGTCAAATTCATCCCATACTCGATTGAGCATGTCGAGTGTCACTGTGCTCATGGCTTTTTCAATGCGATTTTGGAGATCATCCAGTGTTGCGGAACCAACGACGAATGCTCTGAGCTGTTGGAGGTTCACTGCTGATTCACTCTTATTGAAGTGGAGAACATAAAATGCTTTCTGCTCAGGGGTTGCATCTCCTCACAGACTGAAGGGAGCCATTTTCTGGTGACAGAAACTCTGTGACCCACTCTTTCAATTGGTATGTGATTGGTTCCTAGGTGCTCCACGGTTGTAGAAATATGGCACTTTGAAATCGGATGAATCTTTTTTAATCATCCTGTATTATAAATGGACATCACGTTTAACATCAAGACATTGGAAGACAATTTTGCATGTTTGGAATTGTTATGTTGTTTATTGAACACCAAGGCCCATAGCACACTTGGGACTCAACCAGTGGAATCCCAGTGGTATGGTCAGTACATGCACTACTAAGCAGTGATGTTATCTGGTGAGCCGTTTGGGGCAGGCTGTGATTTTTAGCTGTTTCTCTACCATGCTTGAGTGAGTAAAGTTTGCACCTGTGATATTTATCCTCTGATCCTCTATCCACTTCTTTTCTTTAAAGGCTGCTTTGTGCATCTTGTCAGTCAGTTTGCGTCTTTTTTCTCCTCTGTATTGCACTTTAAAAGGAACTATTGGGAAAATGCTGAACATTTATATTCGTTTTTGTGGTAAAACATGCCCTGGCACCAAAGGAAAAAAATGCTTGTCTCTTTAGGAGGGTAAGGTTTTTCTCCCCTGCTGTTCAATGAATAATTCAACACCTTCAATTATATAGTTTTTGTCTGAGCCGGGAATCTGACGGCAAGGCAAACGTGTGATTATTACGCTTGGTGTACGCATGGGATTTGAAGGCCCTACTCCTTCCTCCCATACAGGAAAGTGTGCTTCTCACCTGTCTCACAATGCCATGAATAGAGCCTTTTGAATCTGTATCCTTTCGAGAAGGTGGAAAATTAATTACTCTTTCAGTTGTAATCAGCTCTCAGAGGAATGTGATCTATGATGCGTGTTATCTTTGGATGTAGCGTAATGTTACGTCTGTCCACAAGTGATACGCCAAATAATAGGCCTTATTTGTGTCTTTAAGTTCCTGAGAATCTGTCAAATGTTGATCAAAAGGTATTGTGCATCATTGTAGTGCTGTAGTAATGTAAGAAGAGCTTATTGTAAGTGTCTTTGTGTGTAATAGTCATTTGCCTGTTGCCTTGACATGTTGCTCACTTGTTATTCTTCCCTGTGTGCACTGCTTGTGTGCTTCCTACTAATATCATTTTATGGGTGACCATGTGATTCTTAAGGATATATTCATGCACTTGCACAGCCTGCACTTTCCAGGTTTTGCTCGGGCATGCTGTGGTTTAGCTAGATTACAGGTGCCAAAGAGGGTTCTGTGGAGTGATGCAATAGACAGACCCCTTTGGGTTCTTTAAGGAACCTTTCAGTGAAAAGGCTTTTTTTAAAACAGTGTGAGGTTTCAAGACCGTCCATTTAATGTGAATTTTCTATACCAAACAAAGCTTTTCCCATTTCATACAAGAACTGTTTAGGTTCTATTTCAAGCGTGTACATGTATGTTTGTATTATGTCACTGGCAATCACTGCAGTTGTTTAAGTTTTACTGAACTGCAATATCCAGACACTGTCATGAGCCTTTGTTGTAGATATCGTCCAGGCTCTTGAAGAGTTTAGGTATAAGAAATGCTGTACCTTGACATCTCAGTTGGGTATACTTGTGCCCTTTATTTTTTCACGCTTCCTTTTTCTTTGTTTGTGAGTTTGGTCTCATGGACACTCTGGAGCCAGCGATGTTGTAAGTTCTTGTTGGAAGAGAGCCAATGCCTTTTCTTTTGTGTCCCATAGTGATTTGTCTCTGCCTCTCTCCCTTTCTCCCTTTCTCTCGCTCTATCGCTTTCTGTCTCTCTCTCTCCCTTCCCACCTTTCTCCCTCTCTGTTGAGGTCTTGATTCCACATGTCCGGTTTAGCAGCACCCACAATGCTGGTACCCAAACAGGAACTGGCCCTAAGTCAATGAAAATTCCTCTCTGACTTCCCTCACCGTGATTGGCATTGCAAAATACACACAACAGTGAGTTCATTAACATGTTCTACTTCTAAACTGTCAAAGCCATTACCCCTTTGTTCACACAGAGGATTGTGAAGGCTGATCTCTTGGTAATTTAGCCTGTAGTTCCATGATTCAAGGGCACAAAGATTAAATCCGAGATTAGCTGTTGTAATGCAGTCCTGATTTGAATGATCATGAATGGATTCTCATTTTGCGCACAGCACATTCTTCCTAAGTGTCAGCCAAATACGAAGCACAGCGAATCGATTGCCTCCTCTGCCTTCGCGCATTTCATCTCCTCTGTTATTTGAGGCTTGTGTCTTTTGTTTCTTTTGTTGTCATCCTGTTACCAGTGTTCTGCTCTGGGCAGGGGGACCGACAGTTGTTTTGTCTAGTTGTTTACTAAATCGTTTTGCATACGCTTGATGAGGCGTTGCTAATGATTGTGATGCAGATGATTTTTGGGTTTTCATCCATAGTGGGCTGATTTGTTTGTTTTTGTTTTTGTTTTGTTCGCTTGTTCTCTTTTCTCTCCTCACAAGCTTTCCTTGTTCTTAAATAACCAAAGCTTAGCAGCTTAGTGAGAGTGACTTTTATGATAAACATACTTTTCTCTATTAATGCCATGCAGTCAGGTTTTAGACTGAGATGTTTGGGTCCAGTGTTAGGCTTTTAGACTAGATTTAAAAGTAGTAGGAATGCATTGTGGAAAAAGTTCCCCAGTAGTCTATTCGGACTCTCTCTATTCGGAAGCCATGTGGAAGAGCTCCTTTGGAGTTCTGGAATGTTTTTATAATGGGTGTGGCAGGTGATTACAGGAGGATGTTTATGCCTGGATAAAACGGAAGTGATGGAACGGATATAAGACAATAAACATGGAGCGCTGTGGAAAAGTTTGGCGTGTTTCCAGTGAATCTCACTGCACCATTATCTTGATTACTGTCTGATGGAACAATTTGGTGAAATTCTCTGTTGGATGAAACAGTAAATTTTCAGTAGTAGTCTTGGATTTGAAGTGACTGGTTTGCTCTTTACATGGTTCTACTCTGATGCTCAGGTAGCCGTACTGCAGGTTTAGAACATTTAATTTATTAATGTTTATTAAATAGCAAGGCTTAGTCACATTCCATAACTGTCCTGTTATTCTTCTCCTTTGGGTTCCTTTGGTTTTAAGGAAAAAAAGCATCACTAGTTTCAGAGGGCTATCACAGACTGGCACTGTTTAAACTAAAACCTGATAGCAGTTCCTTCTTAAAGTCCTATTTGTCATCCTTACACTCTCTCTGACCTTGTACCTCCTCCCACATCTGGTTAACCCTATTTATCCCTGTTGGATCCCATCTTCTTTTGTAAGAGGATTAGTTTTAACTGATGATGATGGCAACTGAACAGACATCCCTTTAGTCTTTAAAGCCCAAAATATAACCACTTCTCACCTCCTGATTGCAAAAAAAGAAGCTTATTGTTTTGGGCTTATGATTGACTGAGTAGCTGGAGGGCAAAGTATGGCAGTTAAAAGTTCACGTAATGCTGCAGGTCATGTAAGCTTAACATTTGTCGTGTTTGCCTTTTCATGATTTTGAAACTTTTGAGTCATACGCTGAGCTGAGGATTACAGAATGACTGAAATGCCTCATGCAGTGAAGCATCATTAGATTTTATGTGCTGGAAGCTGAGGTTCATATAAGGAAGTGGTTTGACGAAGGCCACCACTAACCGGCGGGTGGTTTCTTAATCGAGT